TCTCTGTCACTGCATGGGCCTCAGCGTCTTCACTTCCCATACCGTTATGTCTCACCTCTCCTCTTGAGGTGACTGAGGATTGAGTGCGGCCCACAGGAGGAGGTCAGGACACATGCGTGCCTCCCTTCCCAATGAGAAAGGGCAGCTGGGCCCTGGCAGAGCAGGGGGTTGGTGTCCCAGGAGGAGCAGTGACCTGGTGTTCTTGTCCATTCTCTGAAGGGGATGAGCTCTGTTTTCTTCAACAAAGGAGAGAACTGCATTGCAGCAGGCCGGCTGTTTGTGGAGGACTCCATTCATGATGAGTTCGTGCGGAGGGTGGTAAGTCCTGCCCCAGGGTCTGTGGGCTGCTGGTTCACCGGGACAGCAGCCTGGCTGGAGGGGGTTGGAGGAGGGGAGACAGGGCAGGGGTTAAGTGAGGCTGGGCTCCTCCTAGAGGACACTGCCCACGGGGGTCAGGGAACTCACAGCGGGAGCTGTGCTGAGTCTTCACTGGATTTTATTATTTTGCGAAGAAATAGCAGACCTGTAGCTCAAACTGACATCACCAAAAAGGGCCTGTCTTGGGTTGGCTCCCTAGAAGTGGAACCTGGGGCAAGAATTCGGTGCATGTGGTTTACTCAGAGTGGACTCTTAGGTGAAGCCTGGAAGGAGAAGGGACCAGGGGAGGACCAGACAGAATGGAGCAAGGGCCTGGTCTCTGGTCAGCCTGGGTCTGACCATGGACATGGGCCCTGGAGCACAAATCCCCCTACATAGGCATGCCCCTGGGGCCAAGTGGCCAGGCTGCGGGCCCCTGTGGCAGGTAGGCTTGGCTGTGGGCCGCCAGTAGGGGCCAGCAGCTCCCATCAGGTTCTGCAGCCACCTTGCATGGCCTCGGGGATCTGGTGGGCACAGGATAGTGTCTTCCACCAGATTTATCCACTCACTCAGCCACGCCTGGAAGAGAAGGCTTGATGCTGGCCTCGGTGGTCCCGAGTCCCCTTGGGAGGTTTGTAATGTCTGGCTTCTCGGTTCCTCGACGGGTTGGCATCATTCTCTCCAAGCAGCTCGGATATGGTGGGGAGTATGGGGCTGGCGGCACCAGCATTACCTTCTCACCACTTGGAGCCAGAGCAGGACATGACTCCTTCCTCACCACCTCTGTTAGAAAACATTGTGGGGTTGTCATGAGCCAGGCCCCAGCCATCCTTCATCCAGGCCATGATACCAGGGGTGGAGCAAGCTGAGGTTGGCTTAGCTTCCGCGAAGGGCCCCCCCACCGCCCCCAGGTTGTGGAGAGCAGCATCTGATCCCAGCAGGTAGCGGCAGGGATGCGGGAGAGACAACCAGCAACCTCCACACATGGTTTCAGACAGATGGTGCCTGAAAAGCCAGGGAAAAAGAGGGCCCGTGAGCGGAGGGATGAGGGAGGGGTCCCTGGAGGAGAGCTGGCGCTGGACCCAGGGTGGTGGCTCAGAGTCCGGAAGGAGTGGGGAAAGGAAGGACTTTCTGGGAGGGGCTGGAAAAGCTTTTGCCGTATAACAAGCCTCAACACAGAGTGGTTGGAAATGACAGCCCTGCCCTCAGCTTGTGATTCTGTGGGCAGCAGTGGCAGTCTAGGCTGGAGTTCGCTGGGGCTCCCGTGGGTTTGTCAGAGCTTGCCCAAGCATCTGCAGTGAGGCTCGGGGGCAGCAGGGCAGCAGGCAGCTTCGTGGGACAGCTGTCCTTGCCCTAGGGGCCTGTATTCTGCAGCATGTGCTGGGGCATGTTCATGTGGACAGTGGCAGGACTCCTGAGAGTGACAGCACAAGCTGAGAGGCTTCTTGAAATGCACGAAACATTGCTTCCATGCATTGTGCTGCCGAAGCAAGTCACAGGCTGGCCCAGATTTAAGGGGTGAGGAAACGGACTCTACCACGTGATGGGAGGCACAAGCTCATCTTCCGTAGTTAGGGAGCTGGCCTGCCTGGCCAAGCGAGGCCCATTGCCGTGATGGGCCCAGCACAGGAATAGCAGGACCAGGATACAGACCCAGGGACTACTGGAGATAAAGTGGCAGTCATGGGTGGAGTGTGGCTGCGGGGACATAGAGCTGTGCACACAAGGTCCTGTCTGGGGATCTTAAGGGAGTCATGAGACTTCCACAGTCAGGTGACTGCAAGGGCCATTGTCCCAGGGATAATTCTCAGGACAGTCACAATCCCAAATAAAGGAAGTGAGGCCAGTGTTCAGGAGGCTCAGTAGGCTGCTTGTCCTTTGTATCCAAGAGAGATTGGGGCGCAGTTTGGGTCTCCAGGACGGGAGCAGAGAATGAGGAACAAAAGCAACTGGGCTTGGCTACAGGGTGGAGACCGGACAGTCAGAGGCACTCAGTGGGCCCTGGTGGGAAGGGCAGAGGGGTGTCCCGGGTGCTTGGGTCACACCTGTGTCTGATTAGGGCTCACTGGGGGTGCAGAGTTTGCAAGATGTGAGATGCCCTGGCCTTGGAGGAAGAGGGTCAGCAGACTAGAGCCTTGGGCCCCTCCCCTCCACTTAATTTCTTTCCCACTTTAGCACCGGGACTATTGCAGCAGGGCTGGTGTATCCCACCCACCCCACATCCTGGAGTCCCCCAGACAAACAGTTCTTTCAGCTTCTTGATCCATGAGGCTGGTGCAGGACCAGAATCAGATACATGTGGTACTGAGCCCCATCTCCTCAACTAGTCAAATACACCAGCCTCTCTCCTCCTCACCCACACTCCTGTGCACCTCCATTCCCAGCCCATCTATTGCTGGGCTTCTGTCTCCTTGGAGACTTCTGTTCCTCTGCGCATAGGAGCCATCTGGGATTTCAGACTGGAAGGTGGATTTAGAGTCAGAATTCGGAAAGCCCTGAGGCTAGAATAGAGTGTGAACTTTCCTCAGGGGTCAGCCGCGAGAGCTGAGTCAGGTGAGGATCATTGTCAGAAACTGTGGCAGAACGAGCCACGCCTGACTTGGAGGACTTTCTGCAGGTACAGGAGGTGCGGAAGATGAAGGTGGGCAACCCCCTGGACAGGGACACCGACCACGGGCCACAGAATCACCATGCCCACCTGATGAAGCTGATGGAGTACTGCCAGTGCGGCGTGAAGGAAGGGGCCACACTGGTCTGCGGTGGGAATCAAATCCCTCGGCCAGGTGAGTCACAGTGTGCCAGGCCCGCTTGGGTCAATTGAGGCAGCAGGTCCCATGGCCTCTGGTTCCCTGTCCAGCTGAACTGGAGAGAGCTGAAGGCCGGGTACCTGCACAGTCAGGCTGCAGCCCCATCTGGGACTTGGGATGGACTGGGCCTTGGCTATTTGGGCACCAGCCAGACCCGGGAATGGGATGAGCATTATTCAGTGCTGGTTTAGTCAGTATTGAACTGGACTCTGACTTGCCCTTACTGTCACCACAGCCTTGAGAGTCTCTCCCCGATAGATTTCAAGAGACTAGATTTTATGATTTTCCTTCTACTTCACTGGCTGTTAACCTCTCAGCCGTTGCTCCACCTGTCCCCTCAATGCAGGTGCATCCCTGCCTATCCTTAGCTTGGAGCACCTCTCATGGGGGACAGTTCGCCTGCAGGATCTCTCCCCTGCTCAGACCCTACCAGATACAGGCCTCCAGGCTCCACCCCACCCAGAGCTCCTCACCGCATAGCCAGCGGCACTGGACACTTCCACCTGGATGTTCCCCAGGCCCTTCAAACTCAATGGTCATTGCAATGTCCCAGCCAGAGTTGAGCCCAGACACACACACCTGCTGCTCCAGGACCCTCTGTCTGATCGAGTCATCCAGGCCAGAAGTGCAGCAGCCACAGGGATGGACTGTTGATGCTACTGCCAAGGGACAGGTGCCATGACTGTCTTCCTCACCCCTAGCTCCTTTGTGCCTAGACTGGGCCTTGCACAGAGTAGGTGCTCAATTAATCTGATGGCAAGAAGGAGGAAAGGGAAGAAGGAATCCCTGACTCTTCTCTTTCTGTGACCCCCATTTAAATTATTTGCCTGATTCTGTAAAATCTGAGAATTGTCCCACTCTGGACCTCCTCTGCCTCCTGACCCTTGTGCGAGCTCCCTGCATCTTGCCTTGCTCGGTGTCACAGCAGCCTCCCAAGTGGCCTTGTGAGCCTGCTGATCCTTTACTCACACAGTTGCCAGGGTCTGGTGACCTCTCCTCCGTTAAGACCTCGTAGCAGTGACCCACCCTCCCGCAGTGCAAGTTCAGACTCCTTGACCTTACAGCCAGAGTCCTTCATGATCTGTGCCTGACTTGCCCTTGACCTGTACTGCAGCCACATTTCATTCTCTCCAGAGGTTTCTAGTGCTTTCCTGGGCTCCATGCATTTGCTGCCGCTTGACTTAGTGGAGGCTTTCAAGTGTCCCCACCTGGAGAGCTCCTGCTTCTTTAGCTCACAGGACATCCAAACCCAGGCATGCCCATGTCACAGGGTGCCAGGCACCACACACCTCAACAGAGCTCTCGTGACCACTGCACTGCTGCTGTCACTGTCCACTTACCCTCTTCCCACTCCTGCTGGACTGCGAGTTCCATGAGGCAGATGGGGTGGGAGGAGCATCACCAGGGCCCTTGCAGGGCAAGGATGGCCGGGTTCAGGGTTGGTGGGATGGAGGCCCTGTGCCAGGAGCAGGGCTAGGGAGCCAGCAAGGGTTAGAGCAGCACCAGGGAACCAGGAATAGTGGGGGGTCATCACCCCACCCTGGAGAGGGTATGAGAAGGAGCAGAATTCCTACAGCCGAGTGAGCGGCAGAGCATGGGATGGGGCTGCTTTCTGGTGGCCCAAGGACCAGGAGACCAGCTCTTAGGGTCTAGAGGGGATAGGGGAGAGTACAAGGTAGATGGGGAGGGGACGACAGAGGGGTGGTCAGCATGGCTCACATGCCCCGGCAGAAGTGCTACAAGACTGTGGAGTAAACACAGACCACATAAACCACTGTGTGTGTACATGAGTCACATTTTCACAATTGTAATCAGTGTTAAAATGTCATTTATAAATGTATGAAAAATATTGAATATTTTATTAGTTAAATAACTTTGTAACGTTTTTTGAAATTTTCTATTTCTCTAAGAACTAGAGTGAGAAAATTCCCGGTGTCTTGATTATTCCTAAGACAGGCAGGATTGAATTTCAGTGAGGTCAGGCAGGATTGACCTCAGTGCAGCAGGTCTCACGGCTCTGTCTCTAGAGAAAAGAGAGAGAAAGCATTTCAGTTGTCAGAAGTGCGTCTGCCCTGGCAACCAGGGCCTGTAGGGGTTGCATCCAGGGTTGGGATTAGGTGGTCCCTTCTTGACTGGAGAGCATGAAGTTGGGCCTTGGTAGGGACCCCAGAAGGGCAGAGGGAGGGAGTCCCAGGAGGTCCAGTGTCCAGAGCTCCTCCCCTCTCACCTCCTCCTACTCCATGGGTTGTAGCCACCAGGGTCAGTGGCAGAGCTGCCTGGGAGGTTTCACCTGCCAAATGATCTAGGAGGTTGTAGATTAGCTGTCACCAGAAAAGCTCCAGTCTTTGCTTTGGCCATGGGTTCTGGCACTAAGATTGGACTTGGGATCAGGTCTCAGCTCTGTCACCTGCCAACCTGCAGCCCCATTTCCCTCAACAGCACTCCTTTAGAAGCATGGTGAGACCCACATCAAAGAACATGCCAGGTGGGAGAGCCACCTGTAGCATGGCGACACCCATCACATGGGTGCCACGACCCGGCGCTTATGTCAGGTCATCTGCAGGTGGCTGCCCAGGCCCTGCTGACAGGGAGGCTGGACCATCGGTCACTGTGTCTCCCATGTACAGCGGGTCTCCATCTCTCTTGCAGGGTTCTTCTTTGAGCCAACTGTTTTCACAGATGTGGAAGACCACATGTTCATAGCCAAGGAGGAGTCCTTTGGACCTGTCATGATCATCTCTCGGTTTGCTGATGGGTAGGGAATCCTGCTGATGTCTCAAGGGCCCTGACTCTCTCCCACGTGTTACTGGGGTCTTCATGTGGGCTTTGGGAGGTAGTCTATGGGCGGTGAGGAGGAGAACTCAGGCAGGGTGCAAGCCATCAACATCCCGCCTGGGCCGCCTGCTGAGTCTCCACACCCCTGAGAAGAGACCTGGGGCTTTGAGTCCCCCTGTGAGCAAAGACAGTTCCCTTCCCTGTCCTTGTCCCTTGCCACGTGCTCCGGCATGTTTCTCGCAGCCCACTGGACTCTGTTCTAAGGTCTGTTACCGTGCACTAAACCCCCCACACTGAGTGGCTTGGAATAATCAGAGATTTATTTTACTCATGGTCTAGGTTCAATGAGGCGAACGCATCTCTGCTCCATGCAGTGTCTGGCCTCAGCTGGGGCGACAGAGTGGCTATCCTCACGCTGCCGGGGGTCTCCCAGGAGGCTTCCTCCGCGTGGCAGCCTCGGGGTTGCCAAGGCACCTGGTTCCCCCTCGGAGGCCAGGTGAAAGCCAAAAGGCTCTTTATAATCTGGCTCTTCAGAATCCCAGAGCATCCCTTCCACCACAGCCTAGTGATCAAGCAAGTTACCCAGGCCAGCCTGGGCTGGAAGGGAAAACTGTACTCCACTCACAGTGAGGCCACAGAGGCCCATGCTGATACTTCTCAGGCTTACCCCTTGTCTCCGTAGCACCTTGGAGCAAACTGCAAAATCGTGCCTCATCCTTACATTTTACTATCCAACTATCAAAAAAACCCCAGAAATTATTGTCATATGTCAATGGCATTAGAATAAGAGACTTCAGTGCCACCTAGCCAATAAATATGGTTGTAGTAAGTCTCCAGATCACTGATGTCTGGTGAATGCCCAACCTGCCAAGGGCACATGTGGGTCCTTCTGCATGTGAGGACCCAGTGGCTCCTCTCTGGGCCCCTGCTCCCAGTCTGTGGAATAAAAGGCTCACCCCATGATCCAGGAGCCCCTGTGGTGGCTGCCTGCATATGGGCCCCTGCCCTTCCTCCTCACTCGCAGCCCAGCCCAACCCCATCTTGCCCCGGTGCGGCAGCCCGGCACATTTTCTCCTCGGAAGGTCTTATGCAGCTGGGGTGTAGAGCAGGCCAGGCTCTTGTCTGCACCTCCCTCAGGGAGTTCTTCCTGGACTTTCCCTCCAGGGACGTGGACGCCGTGCTGTCTCGGGCCAATGCCACGGAATTTGGCCTGGCTTCTGGTGTCTTCACCAGGGACATCAACAAGGCCCTGTATGTCAGTGACAAGCTCCAGGCAGGCACTGTGTTTGTCAACACGTACAACAAGACCGATGTGGCCGCTCCCTTCGGAGGATTCAAACAGTCTGGATTTGGCAAAGATCTAGGTAACCTACTCCTGCCTGTGGGGTTGCTTTCATTTATTCATTCAGCAAACATCCGTTCAGAACCACTTAGTGCCAGGTCCTATCCCAGATGCAGGGATGTAGCCTTGAACATGATGGCTGTCAGGGCTCACTTCTTACTGAGAGGGAACATGTGACAAGTCCATGAGCAAGATGCTTGCAGAGAGGGGTGGTGCTGGGAAGAAGGCAAGAAGAGTGGCCTGGGGGAGACACTCCGGCCAGGAGGCAGTGGGGGCCTCTCTGGTGTGGTGGCGCCTGTGCTACCCAGAGCTGCATGGCAGGGAGGAGTTGGCCGTGAAGACCCAGGGTCCCGTGTTTCTAGCTGAGGGTTCAGCAGGTCCTTGGGGGAACCAGTTTTGGTCGTGGAGTTGCAGAGAGGCCAGAGTGGTGGGAGTGGGCCAAGGGGGAGCAGGAGGGAGGAGAGGAGGCCTGAGAGGCAGGGAGGGGCCAGATAGAAGGCCCATGGGCCATGGTCAGGGGCTCAGGTTGCGTCCTTAGTGTAAAGAGGAGCCATGAGACCGAATGTACCCCCCAGGTGAACACCATGGGTGTTGCGAGTCTCCCAGTAGAGATGAAGTCACTGAGGCGGCAGCAGGCGGGGTCCCCCAGCACACAGCGCAGGCCCCCCAGTGCTCCGTCCGCTGGGTGGCATGGAGTTCTGCTCCAGCCCTCTCTCCCTGGGCTGCTCCAAGCCTTGGGCCTCATTCTGCTCTCTCAGCAGTGGGGACTAGACAGGTCTTATGGGCAAGCTTGGCAGGGGTGGCTGGCAAGGTCCGGGGGAGCCATATGCTGTCTCAGAGTTCCCACCTGTCTCTCCAGGCTCCTGTTCCAGCCCAGAGACCACAGGGAAGGTCATGCTGAGGCTGAGGGTCAAAGGGTGGTCACTGTTTCCAGTTCTCTCTCCTCCCCCTGCCCCCATCTTTCAAGCCCTGCAGAAGCCCCCAAGGGTGCCTGTGAGAGGGGCCCATGTGTGCCCACAGGGCTGGACTCACATGCACGTATAGGCTGGACACTCCTGCTTCCTGTGTCCCAGTCTGCCTCCTCTTCCTGCCTTCTCCCAGGCCACCTTCCTGGTGTCCACCATGGGAATCCATGAGGCCCATGGCCACCCAGGGAAGGCTATGGCTGCCAAGTCCCCACAACATGATCTGAGCCCCTTATGAATCCTCCCCGAGTTCCCCTGGCCCCCTCCCAACCCTGGTCCCCGTGTCCCGCTGAGAGGACCAGCACCCTCCTGGGACAGGCCCACAAGCCAAGCCTTCCAAGAGCCCGCCTGGGCAGGCCCAGGACTTCAGAGGGACAGGGCAGTGGCATTTGGGGCAGTGCCACTCCTGGGGCCAGCCAGAGCTGCTGGGGAGCTGTCAGACAGTCCCAGGCTTCACACTTGTCATGGGGCTGAGACACACCAGCCACATAGCACTGCCAAGGTCTGGGGCCTCAGGGCCCTGCGAGGCATCTCCTTTTCCCAGCCACAGCTTGATGCAGACATAGCTGGGGGCAGCCACGGGAGAAGAGATGGGCCAGTGAGTCCGGGCAGTAACACCAAGTCCTCCACCCCCTTCCGCCTGAAGGGGCTTCCCGCTGTCCAGACAAGGCGGTGGGAGCCAGGGAAGATTCTTAAATGGCTGCCTCAGATTGGCTTTGTATTCTGGGAGTCCTGGCCCACTATCCACTGTCAGGGATAACCTGGGTAAGATTCATGACCTCGCTGGGCCTCGACTTCACACCTGGAAGTGGGGTGAGCCAGAGCTGCCCTCACGCGGTTGCTGAGGAATAAGACACTTGCAGCCCCCAGCAGTGGTTCCTGCCTGTGGTGGCAGCTGCTGTGACCTTTGTGGTGTCTTACAGGAGAGGCGGCTCTGAACGAGTACCTGCGGGTCAAGACGGTGACCTTCGAATACTGAAGAAAGGTCTTTGTGAGAAGAAAGTCCCTGCCCCTCCCTGGCGGCTGGGCCCCTCCCTCTTCAGCCTGGGTGCACAGCACCTCCCACCTGGGGGCTAGTGGAAGCCCTCCTGCCTGCACCCCATGTCTGCATCTGGGACACCCTCTGTCCAGTCAGCAGCAGCCCTTGGCTGGGTGAGGTGTGCCCCTCCCAGGGAGAATAAAGCTTCTGAAGAGAGACCATCCACACCTCCGCGTCTCTCTGCTCCACCCGTGGGTATTCCTGGGTGGGCCTGGAATTTGCGGTCACCTGGGCATGACGGTGCTGCTTGGCCTGGGAGAGCCAGACACCTGGGGAGAGAGACAGGAGGAAATGGGTGTGGGCCATCTCAGCCCCAAAGAGCAGAAGGTGTGACAGAGTCGGGGTGCAGGAGGTTTGAGGGTAACCCCTAGGAAACTGGTGGGAAGATGGGGGTTGAGCTGGGCGAGCCCTGGACTGGGAGGCAGCTCAAACTCCCTCAGCAGATGGGGGCTGGGCCCTCGCCCCTGCTCTGTCAGCGTGGCCTGCTCTCAGCTGGTAGCCAGCCCGAGGGCCTGCAGTAGAGGGCCGGGCCCAGCTGGGAATGCCAGGCAGAGCTCGTCTCCCATCCAACACGGATGTACCTTTATGGCTTCTCCTTGGCCCAGAGACCTGCCCTATAGCTCCTTCCCGTGCCCTCTCCCTGTGGGAGCTTGCGGCCCTCCTCTCTGCACCCTCATCCTGTAGGCACCAAACACTGCAACCTGACCTACCTGCTGTCACCTCAGTTTCCCCACATGGAGCTCTCTTCTTGGCATCTCATCTCCCCACCCACCTGGCTCTGTCCCTCTGGGTCCCACAGGCCCACTGCAGGCCCCTCTGTCCCTCCCCACGGGCCCAGGCCACGCTGAGAGCTCTAGGCCCAGCCTCTGCTATGTCTGGGAACAACTTCAGGCCTCTCCGTG